GCTAATAAACTAGAAATGGCCATTCTAGTCTTCCTTATCTTTGACGGCAATACTATCTGTCAATGCAACCAGGAGAGTCCCACAATGAACTTTGGAAGTATTCTTGGGTTTGGGGACGAACGTTTAGAAGCTGGCTTCTAGCGTAGTTTTCTTTTAAAGGACGGTCACAGGGGCTGCCACTTCAAAGTGCCATAAGATGCCATCATGCCATTACCTAATACCTTTCTCATCTTGAAAGAATTTCAACATAAAAGAATTGAACACCAACCTACTATCACACAAAGGTTGACCAGTAGCTAAATTCTTCTATTCCTACCTACTGAATAGCCCAAGAGGAGCAACAGAATATCCACCGAGATCGCGCTATCTGATCTCGTCAAATTTTTCTATATGGTTCAATCTGGTGAATTTAGAAAATGTTCTTGAAACGTTGTATTTCTTGTTAGACTACTAAATTGGCTTCGCATCATTACGGTTCACCGTGTAGTCTTCTTAATTCAGGAGAACATTACAGTGTCATTCGAGATTGTTCTTTAATCACTATAGACTTTCCCAAATCCAACGATATTGCTTTCGAATCAGTCGGGGGAGCAGATGCCAGTCATGATCTCGCTCATCGTTTCCGTTCTCAGGGGAGGCACGCCGCCTGTTTCTGTCATAGTCAGCGGTGCCATTATAGTCATGATTGGAACTGTCAGGCTGGCATCCGTTTGTCACAAGTAATTGTTTGCGACGGGGAGGTTAATAGGAAAATATTCGGAAGTAGCAGTCCGTTTTTAGTCCTGGCAACCACTTCCTGTCTTCAGCAAGACTGAATATACTCACATTTGATGCTCGCAGTGAACAGAACAGACTACCTTCTCCTCTTCCTCCCCCATCTCTTCCTCTCATTTTCCACATTTTGCCATCATCTACCCTCCTTCCTCTCTTTCTCCTCCTACCGATTCATCTTAATAATCTCTTTTTTTAAATCTCAAGACACTACTAGCTATCGGTGTTTTCTCATTCCTTTTTTTGCTGGTTGTTCAGTCCATGACTTTTCTTCCGTCCTGTCGTCTATCCTCATGTAGCAGCCAGCCTCAATCGGCTCGACCCTACAATCCCATCACCCCGAAGTATGTTACGCAGCAGTCTGCATGCCCGCCGGGCGACTCCTACCAGCCACGTGGCCAACGTTCGTCCTCCATTCCAGACGGACAGTTGCCTGATGCTGGCGCAGGTCATTTCAACCCATCCCATCTCCCACCTCACCACATGCAGCTCCACCAGCAGCCGCTACAGTATCATC